ACAATATTACAATTGTAATGCAAAATCTTGCAATATAGCAGCAACAATTAAAAATTCCTTTCTATACAATACTCATGTTACTGGATGCTGTTGCTGAAAATGACTTATATTTGTGCCTGCTTATATAGCAATCTAAGTGAAGGACCTTTCAATCCATAACCGTCAACGCACATCAGGTTAAGACCATACTGTGCTTTAAATCATATTGGTCTTTATCCAAAAAAATGAACCAATAGATAAAAATTACTATTCGCTTTATAGAACCATGTCGAAGCTCGGAGATCCGCTTGGATAAAATATCGATCTTTCAGCTTTTACTTCAGAATGCTGATATGGATCAAAGCAAATACCTCTGCCCCCTTTGTAATACTGTCCTTATAATGCCAGTTAGGCCTTTAGAATTTGGAGAAACAATTAAAAAGGCAAACAAAATGCTCCAATATATAGCTAAAAGTGAAGAATTTCAGTCAAGTCTTAGATGTATAATCCATGGTTAAATCCTTTTTCACAATACTGTGTCAAATTTTCGGTCACCATGTTATCGAAATACTGCCACTCTGAAATCAGTCCAGAGAAGAGCAACCAGAGGTATTCTGGGACTGAAGGAAATTTCCTACACTGACCGGTTGGGAAAAAAAAAAAACCTTTTCATTCACAAACGGAGAAGACTATGAGAGAACCTGATACCAGCATGCAAAATCCTTAAAAGGAAAGTTTACATCATCAGAAAGCACCACAAAAGAAACAAGAGAAAAGCGGGCAGGATTTGGAAGTGGATTCTGACAATGTCAAGCCTCTCTTCAGACTACAGGCAAGCTCCTGTCAACCCACATTTTCTTATGAACACTGAGCTGTATCACCCACCCTGCCACTCACCTGCTCTCTCATCTGCAGGCCATCGGACTTCATTGCTTCACAGAGCTCTTCAAAGGACTGGAGTGATTCTGCAACTCCATCATTGAGGGCATCCTCAGATAAAACCAAAACAGAGGCTGGTGTTAACAAATTAATAACACCAGTGTGTTAATGTAAGCAGAGGTAGAACAGAACAGGACCACAAGCAGGTAAAAGATTCAAACCCAACTGCACCCCAAAACTACCAACAGGGGGGCGCTGGGTGCACGCTGGCTGTGGCAGAGGACGCTGGGGGTACCTGCTCCGGGCGTGCCAGTCTGAGGGCGGCGACGAGCTCCTGGTGCGAGCCCACGCTCTGCTCCAGCTCTCTGATCCGGGCGGCGGAGTGGCACCTCAGGGCCTCAGCGACAGCATGGGCCTGGGCAGACAAGCAGAGAGGGGGTCAGGGTCAGACAGCGCGCGCTTATAATCACTGTGGGGCTCCCCCTCGTTAAAAGACAAAAAGGCCACAAGTAAGCTGGCCGAGAATTCCAAAGGTGCATGCATTTATAAAACTGATAACTGAAGAAATTATGTTGTGCATTCCTGTAATTTTATGCTATGTACTGATGGAAGATTCTTACACTTTTGCAATTTACTTTATGTAGGGCAAGGTGTGCTGTTTCAGAAAGAATTCCTAGATCTGTATTTGTAAGCTTATTTTGCATCATTTAAGCGTTTCTTTAACATCAGCATTTCTGGGTCTTGTGTCCTTTTCCCTGGACCCCTGGGCTACTGCTGTCGGGCAGGGAGCCCCGAGTCTGGATGCAGCGATGGGAGAAAAGCAGAAGCTTACCGCCTCCTTAGCCCTGAGGGCTTCCTCCACCTGCTGCCTCGCGCCATCCCGCTGGCGCTGGCTCTCCACAACCTTTTCCCTCATCTTCCTCAGCATCTCCATGCTCCTTCCATGCAGCCCCTTCATCCGAGACATCTGCACAAACACAAACCTCTGGACTGAAACGCCGGAACAAGGAAACATCAGCTCGGTCTGCTGATCACTTATAAACCCAAATTCCAAATTGACCTCTTTGGTGGGAGAATCTTTGAGTAATTCACAGGCATAAGTAGATTTTTTTTAAAAATCTGGAATCAGTGTCATTCCACTGCTTCAAATTGCACTGGTCTACCAGTAGGTGGCAATCTTCCCTCTAAAATAGAATTTCTGGATTTTTAGGGACACTAATGCTGTCCTTCGCATGAGATGTGTTAAACAGAGGTTCTGACTGCTCAATCATTAAAGATCCCAAGGCACTCTTCCAAAGAGCAGGGAGTGGCCATGTTATTTTCACTCCAAACGTGTACAATTGGACTTAACTCAACCCGTGAAGCCATCTCACACTTCCACACCTCATCTGCTGTACAGTGGGCTGCATGCACAGAATGGTGGTGCAACTCAGTTGTAGATGAAATGGTTCCACTCCTATAAGTTCTAGCTCTTTTCACCCTTAGCACTTATAACTCCATCCACCTAACGGCTTCTTCCATATCAGGGGGGCAGGGCAAAGGACACAAGGAAGCACACGGACACAGGCGACACAGCCAACCTGCCAAGAAGCCAATTAACCTATCAGCATCTCTTTGGGCTGCGAGAGGAAGCTAGAGCACCCGGAGGAAACCAACTAGAAACCTGGAGAGATCATACAAACTCCAGACAGATCTGGATTGACCCCAGGACCCTAGTGCTGTGAGGCAGCAGTGCTGACCCTGCTGCCCCTGTGCTTATAAATGCACACGACTAAGATATGGAATCGCTAAGTGTTTTAGGACCTTAAGCAAATTCGAGAAGCACAGACACGGACAGATTCCCCAGGAAGACAGTACATGTTCCGCCAGGAGCTGTGCTTGCAAGTTTGCAGGCCCTGAACAATTAAAATGAGGTTTTCAAAAGCTTGAGGTCTTTCACAACACACACCCGGCCACCCCAGTGGTGCTCGGCCTGTTGTAGGCAAACGCACATTCCTTAAATCGCCCCCCTTACCCTATCCATCTTGGCTGAGGACAGCGGGCGTACCTGCTTGGCAGAGGCGTCTTGATTTGCTTTGCTGAGGTCAAATGTTTCTTGAGCCATAGTGAGGGCAGCTGCAGTATCCGTGCTCATGGAAAACTGTCAACACAAAATCATTACAAACGACTCTGACATTCCTGCCATCACGCATCAAGGTAAAGACTGCACTGCTTTTTAACCAGCATTTTTTAGCACTGGGGGGGGGGATTTCATGACAAATTAACAGGCACCAAAATTAGACAACACGTTTTTCTATATGGGTCTGAAAAATGTTTTAATAAAAGAAGTTTTTCCTTGATGAAAAAAAACATTTTCCTCCAAGCGCAGGAGCTGCTCACCACTTCATCCCGGACGTCCTTCAGCCTCTGGAGGAGAGCCTGGAGTTCTTCCTGAGGCAGCTCCAGGGACCGGACGCGCTGCACGGCCCCCACGTACAGCTCTTGGTACTGCTGCTCCACCTGCGGGCCAACACCACACAGCAGCACGCATTTACAGGTGCCCCCTGCAAGGTGGTGCACCTGCGCCCGCCGATTCTATGCCAAGACCTGCAAACGCGCCACTCTGGCACTCAAGTCATAAGGCAGCATTCGCCACACAACGGCGTGGAAGTACTTCACGTTGCAGACAGCGTTTTTACTTCCACTCAAAAACTCCAATACAATGCGTTTTACCACTCTTTATTCGTAAACATGCAATCTACAGTGCACAGGCAGTTAAGTGTCATGCATTCCTTATTGTTAAATAAGCAATAATCAATAATCTGGCAAAAATACCCCTAAACAACAACAAGCTCCAGTCCGCGTCTCTACTACTGTAAAGTAATATACCGCAGAGACCTACAAAAACTAACAGGCTAATTTGTTTTATTGCACGAATAGAACATTTCTAAGAACAATTTTCTTTCGTTGGGCGCAGTGACCATATAAAATGTACTTAAATGCTAGAAACAGTCACACAATCACATAGTATGATTTCCAAAACCTCATCTCTGACCCTTTTGTCTTAAAAAAATTGATCGGCTATCAGTTGATTGGCTACAAGGTGCCCTTTTCTAGAATGCATTCTCAAATGTATACTGGGGTGCAGCCATTCAGGTAATGAGCATTTTATCCCTTTATATAAACACAAATGAAAAACGAGACGTGGCACCTCATTAAAATAATAAGAAGGTAACCTGGCACAATTGGCCAGGTTGTACCATAACTGCCATTTACATTCTGGCATGAAGTGGATCAATCAAGACCTGCTCAACTGTACAGATGATAATCAACCTGGATTACAGCTATGATGCTGCACAGGAACGTTATCATGGAAAGAGGATGTAAGTGTTACATTCAAGATATTTCCGATGCGTCTGGGAGTAAAACCTCTTACTGGAATCTGAACAGAAGCCTCTCTCACCTTGTCGTGCTCCACTTGGCTGAGCTCAGTGAGGTCCGTCTGCACAAACGTCTCCCTCAGACTGGACGGTCCCGGGCGCACCACCTGGCCACGGGCCCTCGCACTGGCCACCTGCTGCGACAAGGCCTCCATCACGATCAGGGCCGAGGTCAGTCGCATCTCCAGGTCCGCCCGGGGGAGGGCTTGAAGGCTCTCAGGGTCAGGAAGGCTGTGAAAAGGATGCACACGTCACCAGACGGCACGCGCTCACTTCTCCAAGTTTTCCGCCTTACAGGCCTGAATTCCTGTTGTATTTTCCTGTGGGAAAGGACTACACAGATTACACTGCAGTCATGAAAATACTGCAAGACAATACCATCGAGCCCTTAACATGCAGCTCCAAACAACATCTTCAATATAAAAATATGACCATCAAAGCTTCTAAAGAAGGCAGTGGGAATTATCCTCCTGAAGCAGGACAGAGTCACGCTTTAACCAGCACTGAAGAAGATCTGGGAACGGGAGGCTTACAACTGGAACGAAACTAAGAAAGCGGAACTCACTTCCACAGCAGAGAATCCGTGTTGGTCCCCATTTCGGCCACCGAGATCTCCCTCTTCCTCTCAAACACCCCCGACGTGTTGACGCTTCGTTCAGTCCGGTGCACAGGGGTGGTACAGGTGCCGACAGGGCACAGCTCCACAGAGGAGGAGGAGGAGGCCGGGGCACCTTGTGCGCCGGACGGCAAAGGAAACATCAGGATTTCGGCCATCTGCAGGAGCTGCTGCTGCAGGGCCTGGGCCTTGGTGCGGGACAAACTGCACCCTCCTCCAGGGAGAGATTCTGCTGCGTGCACCCCCATTTTGTCAGGCTTATCCACCATTGAGGCCTTAACAGGATGAGCGTCATTAACCTTTACCGAAGAGACAGGTTCGGGCTTCTCTTCTAAGCCCGATAATATGCTCACATCCCAGTCTTCTTTAACTCCCAGGCTCGCGGCTGTGGAGTTCAGCTGCGGCTGAGGGAAAGGGCTGTAAGGGCTTGCTCTCCACAACTTGTTGAGACTGCCAACACCGGGGCTTGCCAGCTTTCTCTTGCCACTGCCGAAGAAGTCGTGCTCCGAGTCAGCAGCTGGGCTAAGAGACCTGGGATCGGGGTCACACCCATCAGAGCCGCGCCCCGTTCCGACGGCAGGCGAGCCGGCGGCTTGATTGTCGGAAGAATTCACCAAACTCTTCAAGAGCAGGCTGACGCTTCTGCTTAATACGGGGGCCCTTTCCACCGGGGTCGCCAGAACGTTTTGGAACGACTCGGAGATCGACCCCTCCAGGGATGGACGGGGAAGAGAGGCTGATGGGTCTGCCTCAAAAGGCAGCTCTGCCTCAGCCTCAGTTGCAAGCTGCAGGCTCCTTGCCTCCGACGACAGCACGTTCCCTATTCCCGAATCTTCTTCCTGGGACTCGCTTTGTGGCACACTCAGGACTCTGCTCCCTTCAGCCAAAGAGGCAGAACTCTGCTTGGGAGCCACAGGGCTGCATCCAAGTGGCATTAAACTCTCTGCCTGTTCGGTTCCTGGTGCATTCACACAGAGATCTTCTGCAAAAGGGCTGTGTTTTGTATCAGCGCTGGAAAACTGGTCAGTTTGGTCCTGCATGGGTAATGCGTTTCGAATTGGGGAACTTAGTGCTACTGGGACGCCTGGAAGAGCAGTAGGTGAGGCATCATCGTCTTCTTCACTCTGCATGTTTTCCAAAGTATCTGGCTGGCGTTCTAGTAAACACAGAACAGCTGGATGAATCTCAGAGCCCCCAGCCTTGTGCACGACAGGAGCTGGTGCAACGCAGTAGTCATGCGCTGCATCAACATAAGGGTTATCGCTTAAAAAGCTCACGTTCTTCATCGAAATATCAAGGGAATGACCATCGGCCGCCCTGCTGCTGCCGAAACGGCTCGCAGGAGCACTGATCGCTTCTCCACGGACAGTGGTGCCATGCAGGTGGGTCGTTTCATTTAAGGTCTGTAGTTCCTCTGGGTCACTTGCTTGAACGATGAACGTGCTTCCATTTGCTTGTCCCACAGTAGAATCTGGAGTTGTCCCGTCCAAAGCCTCAGGAAGGTCCCAAATCTCTACATCTGCTCCAAGGAACTCTAAGCTGACGGCATCCATAGTGCTGTTGATCTCACCAGGAGAGTCCGCTTTCGGAAATGGTGGGGAGTCACCGGAGAGATGTTCCGTCACATTGCCCTGTGACGCCCCGTCACGGTCACGGACTCTCCCTGTGGTCACACCGGGTACGGTGTCAACTGGGGACTCATCTACAACGTAGGTCTCCTCTGCAGTTCCGCGGCCTGGCAGCGGCTGGGTGCTTACTGCCTCCGACTGGGGCAGACCGACAGCAGGCAGGACGGGAAGGGAATCTGGGAAGCGGTATTCCAGGGAACATCGATCATCTTCCGTTACTCTGAGTGGCTCTGCGTTCTCCTTGAACTCTCCCATTTCTCCCAGAGGCTGCAGGTGGGATTCAATAGCACTGGCCTTCCTGGCAGCCTCGGTACTAAAATCGATTCTTGAAACGGGGCAACTAGGCATGGAGTTCAAATTCAAGTGCTTTTTATTCTCCTGTAAAAAAAAAAAAAGGTGAAATCCATCAACATCAACAGTTTGCTTTTCTAGATTTAACTACCTTCTCCAGGAGACATTCACAGTAACACAAACATACCAGTTCCCTTGTATTAGAGAACTTTTATTAAATAAAAAAATAATTGATATAATGACTCAGTCATATTCCGGACTCAGCGTTCCAGGTGGAGAATCTAAGAAATTCCTTACTTTATTTCTCATTTCCCTACTAACACCCCAGCAGATCCATATCCCACAAATACCAGACTCCTTCATACAATTATGAAAAGGAAATCTTAATACAAAAGACAGAATAAAATATTCAATATCAATTCATTCCCCCCCCCATTGATCCGATTGGTCCGATTGATAACCGAGTGCCCTGCCCAACTGTGACACCATACCTTTATCTTGAGTTTGCTGAACAGGGGTGTGAGTGTGGACGACGAGGCGCAGAGACCATTCTGGAAGCTCTTTAAAGGGGTCCTCTCCATTGACTTGCCTTGAGGCTGGAGCGTGTCAGGGAGTCAAAGGGTTAGCCAATTACAATTAGCCAGGAGAAAATGGTAAAAACAAGTACACAGAAACGGAACGTTTCCCAGGCTTCCCAAAGTAATACAAATACCAGACAACATGCAATCCTTGATCTGACACATGGCCAATGGATTAAAGGATTAAAATGCTCATGTGGTAAATTACACTGAAATATTTGCACCACTATTTTCTAATCACCTTATTCTACATGAAATGCCTGCATACCCAGGAACAAGGCTCATGAGACGTGCGATTAGTTCAGCTTTCCCAAACCTGGTGGCTTCTTTTCCCACCTTGCTAACCGAACCCATCAAATGTCATGACGCACACTGCAAAGTTACTTCTGCTTCAGCACAAGTAGTTACCCTCCCATGTAAACCCTTACGGAGCGTTCCTTTTTCAAGGAGCTCATACCACATCGTAAACTTCCTGAACTCGTGCTTCAACGCCATTCCTCAAATAGAAGAAGACACGGATTTTAGCAGGTAAAGTTGCTGGCATGCCACGGACTGTGTTGGTGTGGGTCAAAACATGTCTTTCTTCCTTTAAAACCTTTTTTCTCTCTTATTCTTTCCTATAAAGCCACGAACGAAGACTGAAAAGGTCCCCAGGCCACCCAGCATGGTCCAACTACTTAAAAAACCCAAACTTATACAATGTACATCATCTTCCATTTTGTTAAAAGGACAAAACCCTCCAGAAATGCATTCGTTCCAGCTCAGGTCTGACAACTCTGCGCAGTGGAGGCAAGATTTTATACAATGGGTTGGTTCCATTCAAGACAAACCTAAATACTGTAGTTAAGTGTTAATACTGTGAGAAAATAAAGGGTTCACACTGGCCTAGGACACTGCTAACCCAAAACGAGACCACTCGACCTTCTACTGTTATCTTTTAGAGACAGAAAGATTAAGATGGGTTTCTAAACGACACAACACTAAAATTCCGGCACTCCAGTCGGTTCACAGTCCAATCGCCTTTTAACGAAGTGCAGCTACAAGCCCCATTTCCTTCTTACACCAAAGCCTTCCTCTCCGACTCCAATATTCATCGACGACCTTCTCCTCGTAGTCATTTGTGTGGCTGTTATTCTACCTAGAAAGAAGTGTGAAGATGTCGTTTGACTCATTTTCTCCGGTCGACAAGTAACAGTCCGTTACAGTAAGCAAAACAAATACATATACATATATCATTTTAATTTCTGTACTTCGGGCAATGTTTTTTTTGTATACAGACTCTAATCATGGTACTTAGAAAGTCAAAAGTCAAACGTTTAATAACATACATTATTCACGAAGTAGCTTAAAGCAGATTTTACGTTTTTTATAATGTCTACAACAATACTTACTAACATTACAAGATTATAACAACAATATTTACGGTGACTACCTCCCCGGAGCCACTAGAGGATTTCTCAGCCTAAATGTCAGCGAACGTATATTTACTTTATTATACTAAATGAATTCATAAATGACTTAAAGCCACGTAGTAAAGATCATACCGGGCCTGCTATTTTCGGATGAGCTCTGGAGTTCTTCTGTTAGCCGTATAAATAAAAATAATAAGAAATTAACACGCTGCCCTAAAAGAAAACTATTTCTCTCAACTGCTCAACTACAATTTCAAACATTACACGCTCGCGTCTCATTGGACGGTCGGCCAGTTGCGTCACGTCGAAGCGTGCTCTCCTTGCGCACGCGCACGCGCACGCAAGGGAGGGCGGGGTTAGCGTTTGGCGTCACGTGATATCGGAAATCGACTAGACACCCTGAGCCCTTGCAGACCCTAGCGGGAACGCGCATGTGGAGGGTTTAGTCTTGTTATACTGTCAGTGCGACGCTTGGGAGGCGGCGTTAGTGATGATTTCGAACATGCTAAGGAGGTGTGCTTTTCTTAAATTAAAAATACCAAGCTTTTTCTCCCCAAGCAAACGCATTGCTTTCGTCAAGAAAAAAAAAACATAAGTGTACAAGCAAATCGCTTTCGTACGTTCCAGAGGAAATCATGTACATTTTAAAATGTTAGAAGTCGCAAAGCTCAGAATATATTTTGTTTTCATACGTTGCACCACTTCAGGAGCCGAAAGAAACGGCTATATTTACCATAGACACGAACAAGTTCAGGTGGGTAGCTGTGTCAGCATGCGTAGGCTAAGTAATAGGGTTATTCCCTGCTGAAAAGAAAAGAAAGATACTCTGTGGTCATTAAAACTCCCAGGGCGTTTCTCAAAAAGAGTAGGGGTGTTACCCCTGCGTACTGGCGCACTATGGCTGCCGCTGCATCATCCAGGTGGGGCTGCACACTGGTGGTGGTGGAGAGGATCCCCATTACCTGTAAAGCACTTTGAGTGGAGTGTCCAGAAAAGCGCTGTGTAAGTGTAAGGAATTATTATTGTATAGAACTGTTGTCACACCAAGGGGCATTGTTGCACTGTTATATTTTACTTTTCACTATTAGTCTTGCTGCCTCTCAGTGCTGGGGTCCTGAGTTCAATTCCTGAGGTGCTGTCTGTGTGGAGTCTGCATGTTCTCCTCATGTTCGCGTGGGGCTCCTCCAGGTGGTCCGGTTCCCAGTTTCTTCCAACAGTCCAGAGCCATACTGGGAGGTTAAGTGGCTTCTGGGAAACTTGGCCCAGGTGTGATTGTGTGCGTCTGTGCCGTGTGTACCTTGCGATGGACTGGTGTCCCATCCAGGGTGTACCCCGCCTTGTGTGTGTTGCTTGCTGGGATAGGCTCTGTCTCCCCCGCGACCCTGAATTAGATAGAATGGTTCGATAATGGATGGATGATAACTTTGAAAGTGTCACACTGGCTACGGGCATCAGCTAAGGTTAGTACGAGTTGCTAACTGCATGGAGCACATGGACCAGGCTGAGGCTGGTACCCCAACTGGAGGCTCAGCAGACCCGTTTGGTACCGATTAGCATGTCATCTGTGTGACACGGCAGGGAAGCAGTGACTTCCTGCACTGTCCCTTAGTCTTCACGTCTAAAATCCCAAACGGTCTTGTTCAAAATATCGGTGTGGTGTGTCAAACAGTTGTAATTCCTGACATCTGCTGATTTCATTACCCTTAAAGAGATACAATATGTTATCTGGCTGTTATGGCTCCGTGCCACTGTGAAGATAATAAAGCATAAATAATACAGGTGCTGGTGCCTAGGGCAGTGTCAGACTGTCACTCCACTCTCAGCAGACAGCAAACTCCTGCGAGGCACAGCATTCAGATTTTTGCATGAAATATTTTACTTATAAATCAAAAACAGTCCGTAAGGATGTACTAGAATATTTATTTAAAAATGGAATCAAGTAATGAAATGTCCGAGAGGAAATCAGGACATGGGAGACCAGGAAAAAAAAATCCAGACCACCTGCTGACAAAACAAAACACGAGACAAATACCATTACATAAAACACAGCTGATTGGTGATCAGGTGACTGTCTTGGGTAAAGGGTAGAAACTGAAGAGCCAACACAGGAAATTCATTAAAATTCTGAAAACATAGGGATTACATAAAGTCACACGACTAAATCCACAATCAGTTTCCTACATCAATTAAACGGGTGTCTTCTTCTTGGAGGTGTGGTTTTCTAGCAAAACAACAACAAACGGAACAAGACAGTTATTGCTTGACACAATGGGACACTCCCATGTTTGAAGTGATGGGCAGCACTGTTTGGCATGAGACGCACTCAGCTAGAGGCAATTGGTTCATCCAGCTGAATATGCTGAACTGACACCCTGCTCATAAGCCATGAGGGGAAAAGACAGCGTGACATGTCATGTTTTGAACCTGACTGATGGTGTAGCTCTGTGCCACAGGTACAGCTGGTTAATAAGTGGCAAGATCAAGAACGATGGGGCTAGTAGGAGTGTACACCAACCCATACAGACCTGAATCGAGCCTCCTATCACAGGGCACAGGTGGTGCAGCCCATGATTGGTCATGGGTGAGCTGTGTCACCTTGAGGCTGTCAACCCTACACAGAAACACGCGGAGACATGCTCAAGCACAGCAAAATCGACGCAACCAAAATCTTTATAGATCATTTTCATGGAAGACAATGGATACTGGAAGTTTTGTTAAAAAATGACTTGTCCAACTGACCTTGCGTTTTTGGCCTTTTAAAATAGGAGCCCTCTGTAGGCAACCTGATTCCTGAGCTAGACAGGGGAAATCAGAATGGCAGTGTATATAGCATTTCACACGTCACCCCCTGGAGCACTTCAGCTTGGCCGACCACCACCGGACAGACTGACCACTGGCAATCTAGCAAAGTATCACACCCATCTAATGACCGTGTGAGTTTTTAGTGACCGTGTGAGATGGAAGACTGTGTAATAACGAGGTCTGGCTGGTAATTGCATAGTTTTTCACCTGTTTCTCTTTGCGTTTTACTGTTTTGTGTATAACCTGACCTGCAGCGTCTTCTTTAATACTCACTGTATTGTAGCTCTGTCCCTGGGAGAAATAATCACGCCTCACCTTCTGTGATCTTAAAGGGATAATTCTCTAAATCAGATGAGTAATCTCTGAAGGAGCTGTTAGGATTGGGATCACACAGAAAAAAACAAACTAAGAGCCCTCAAGGAGAGAGGATCTGTCTCTCTAAGCCGGTCAGGAGCTCATCTGGGCTCCAGCTGTCACTGTACTGAGAGAGCCACAGCAGAGGAGAGGGAGCCTCAGGGCTTGACCATTTTGAGAGCTACTGGCTGGCCGGCGTGTTTTAAAAGCCGTGCTTCTGTACAGCTGCAGTGCTCGGTGAAGAGGTCTCTGGGCAGCTAGTGAGCTACAGGAGGAGGTAGCTAAGTATGAGACTGCAGCTGAAGTTGTGGTTCTGGAATCGGCCCAGGGAAGAGCAGCCAGGTACACCCCAGGGCCCAAGGGACTGGGACTGGGACTGAGACTGGGACTGGGACTGGGCTGAAGGAACGTCTTGAACAGAGAAGACCAGGAGCGGACCTGATCCAGGTCAAAATCCTCCGATCCTCAAAGGCGTTGGTGGCAAAGTCAGCCCCCCCCCCCACGGACCCCAGCACTAGGAGCGAAGAACGATCCAGAGGTCACAAGAGCAAGAACAGAGTCATGTGCTCACATGGTGGCTTAACGGCATGGAAACCAGGATGAATGAAGGCTCTGGGCTGATGGGCCTATGTGGCTCCAACACAGCACTTACATACCTAACTGTAAAACATCAGTTGTGATCAATTGTAATTGGTTAAGTTATTAAGAAATTAAATGATCTCATTGCTTGTTTAAAAGATCCGATTGCTACAGGTGTTCCAATATACAGATGTTTTAGGATGACCTAGAAGACTTAACAGATCAGGGCTCTCTGGGCTCAGTCCTCCGTGTTAGGGGACAGCGAGATTTCTCTCTCATCTTTCCTCACACATTAAGCAGCGCATTATTCCTTCACTGGCTGGGACCTGCACTGGCCCCGGACTCTTTCCCTCCGAAGCTGACACAACCCACTCTGAGAACAGGCGATCTCTTGCCTGTTTTGGACATCCTGTGAAGAGTCACAGGCTCGTGAAAAGTGTAGAACCCTCAAACTGATCAGCCTCCCCAAACATTTCCAATCCTCATGGGTCTCGACAGTCTTGGGCAGGAGGTAGGGAAGTCTTATCCTCTTTCCAGCTGTACAGGCTGCTGGTCACACATCAGGAAGGAGGGATTGCGTTTTTCCAAAGGCGTATAAAAAGGGGGATCACCGCTGCTCAGCGCGCACTCCCCTGCGCGGTCTCCTGGCCCCGGTTGACGTCACCCGGCAGTGGGGTGAGGTCCAGGTCGAAGGTCTTGAAGACGTCGAGCTCCAGGCCCCGCCCAGCTCGGGCAGGGCGGTCCGGCCGCTGCTTCAGCTCCAGGATGAGGCACACGGGCGTCTTCTGCAGCAGCTGGGGGTCAAAGGTCACTCCCCGAAAGAAGGGCTGCTTCCTGAAGCGCTCCAGGCGGCGCAGGCGGCACATCGGGTTCTGGCAGAGCAGCTGGAGCAGAAAAACAGATCAATGAAAACCTGGCAGAAGGGCGGAGGTGGAGTCAAGGTGGAGGCGGGGTCAGGGCGGAGGCGGGGTCAGGGCGGAGTCAAGGCAGAGGCGGGGTCAAGGTCGATCAGTCCCTGACCTGCAGTGCACTCCCAGGATTAAACACTATGACAAAATTTTTATTTTCTTTCTTATGGCATGCATAAGAAATGTCCACAAGGTCTTGTGCGTCAGGTGCATGAGAAGGCTCAATGGTATTGATGTCTTGATGCTATGGTGAATGGCGGCAGTACGGGCAGTCAATCATTCGTCCAGCTGATCCTGAATGTTTCGGCTGAAGAGCACAAGAAAGGAACTACAGCAGGGAGAGTAGCTCTGGGCTTGGCGGGGGGGGGGAGGTGCCAGGAGCTCTTGGGGTACAGTGGGGGTGTGTGTGGATACCTCGCTGATCAGCAGGCCGAGCTCGGGGCTGAAGGTGTCCGGCATCTCGTACCCACAGCTCCTCACCTCCTGCAGCATGGAGCGGTGATCCGGCCTGGGGGCCACAGGGAACTGGGGACCCAGGGGCAGAAAGCACAGCAGCGTAAGAGGAGCCCTTTCAGCCCATTGTGCCTGTGGGCAGTTGGCCAACCCAGGGATCTCGCCCAGCCTTCTCCCGAAGGATCCCAGAGTCCGTCTCTGCAGCCCGGCTGGCTGGCTGCCTCCGGGCGCATCGCGAAATCGAGACCCGAAAGGTCTGCCTGCCACCGCGGTGCCCAAACTACGCCGCGCCGGCGATGACCCACGCGCCATTCGGGACAAGGTCCAGTCCTGCAGACACTGACCTCTCTGCTTCCAGCAGGGGCGATCAAAGCCCCCCCAGGAAAACTACATCCAAAAAACATTGCCGTTTCTGTCATCTGAATCAAATCGACTCGTGATAACCGATTTTGTATTTTAATTACAAAGACCCCCCTGTGTTCATAATGGACTTTTCTGTCCAGAAAAATGAGGTTCATGTGCACTGCTGACCTGCCCTAGACAAGTAACCTTACTGGTCTACACCTGTTTCCTGACTCTGGACTGCTGGCCTCTTCTTCATGAACGACAGCTTCCCAGGCTGACTGGGCCTTGCAGTTGATCTGAAGGCTCTTCTAGGGCCATGGGATAAATACCCACGCTTGCAGACTTGTGCCCTTCATGTGTGCGTTCCCGCTCAAGTCTGCAAGGGCTCAGGGTCTCCCATTTGCAATTTGGGGTTCAGAAGGGTGCTCACCAGCGCCCCCAGTGCACCCTGAATGCACCCGTCTCTGAGGTCTGCATGGGAGCGCACTCAGCTGAAGGGAATTACCCCTAAGACCTTGCGGAATGGTGACGCCTCATGTTCTAGCCCACCTTTTTTGTCGGCGGAACCCCTTCATTCTAAATGATTTGTCTCAAGTCCCCCCCTTGAGATCTTAAATCAAACCTTTCAATCACTGTAGATAAACAGCTACAGCAACCCTCTCAACAAGCTTCCTTTCACTTTGTAAAATATGAATATTACTCCTACTGTTTTTCTTATTCTTATTCTTACATTGTTATTTATTAACAGGACTATTTAATCTGACATTGACGTTTCCAACACAATCTCACGAACCCCTGCTCTAGCAAACAGAAGCAGAGAGAAGTTGCCATAGGGAATAAAATATTTGTGTGTTAGGAAAATGTCACTTTATTTTATGTACTACTGTATTTTATGTGAAAACACAATGCCCTTAGGCTGCTTAAGATGCACACCGTATGTATCGTAGATACAAAGTTTGGACATACAGCTTTTATTTCATCACCACATCTCGCCTGATGAATATTAGTGGGATTGTCCCTATGGTGTATTTTGTACACGGAAAGACAAAGTATTTAACAGTACAAAGCTTTGAGGTTTTGTCAGGTCTACCTTATTTAATTGACCTCGACCACTTTGAATCGATCCTGTTCGCCGCGAATGAACATGTGATGTTCCTCGTACTGTCGGTTCTGTACTGGGACAGACGAGACGGAATGGGTTTAGCAGCACAGCGCTACTGCCACGTTTACAGGAATTTTGCCCGTTCGAGAATGCACACGACATGTCCCCACTTTTGTGCAGGGACAGAGGAGATGATATTCAATTACAATTGCGAGTGGACCATGAACATTTTTTCAAAAATGATCTGCAGACGTGCACTTAGCTGGAAAAGAAGCAGCAACAACGTAAAGCATTTTGAGTGTTGGCCGTGTACGCCACAAGTGCCCTCATGTCTCAGTACACTTGCTCACGTCACAGAAGGGCGGACTTTGAGGAAGAGCTTAGGGCGAAGTGTGACATCCGAGACATGGCCTAAGTCAGAAAGTGTCTATCTAGAGGCAGGGCGGAGAATCTGATGACCTCACCTTCCCTGTAGCCAACGAAAACAGCAGAACGCCTAGAGACCACCAGTCAGCTGCGTGGTTGTACGGCCCCCCACTCAGGACCTCGGGAGCTGTCGGTGACGAAGGGCGACAGAGTGCTGTTAAAGTCCCACTCTGCGATGCTGACAACACTGACAGAAGAATGACAGTAAGGCAACGTTTTGCGAGCGCTGCCTGTTTTAGTATGGATGTACTGTCAATTCCAAAATCAGGGCTAATGCATACAAGCCCCCGCGTCCAAATAAGAGATATAAAACTACAGAAAAGAAGAAATAAATAACTTGTCGGGTCTGCGGTTCAACAGCAACGCGCTTTTTCA